CCACCACCTCCGTATCCACCACTTCCGCGTCCCCCACTTCCACATCCCCCGCTTCCGCATCCACCACTTCCGCATCCACCAGTTCCGCATCCACCACCACAACTATAAGTCGCAGCGTAAGGCAATGTGCTAGCTATTTATATATAATTTAATTAGTCTTCTAGTTTTAAATATAAAAATACTATAGAATACCCACCATAAAATATGCCCAAGCCTGGACTAATACCACACGTGCCTGTGTAATGGCTATTCGCCCTGGGATTTAATAAAAATAAAAAGGTTAATATTTTTTAGCATACAAAATATAAAGCATTACATCAACCTAAGTGCAAGCCTTATGTTTAGTCACTTTAAAAGCATGTTTTATTCTGCTCGAGTTCATAAGGTCTTAAATCTAAGTACAATTTTACAAAATTTGTCAAAACGCACTTAGCATTTATTGACTTTGCACAAATATATTTACTAGAGATGGGATAAAGTGTGCATTTTTTCAGAATCATACACGAACATGAAACAGAATCATGCGTATAAATGTACACTAATGTATACGCATAAAATCGAATTGATCCATCTCTAGAAATTACATTCATTCGCATGGCCCATCTCTAATTTTAATTTTTCTATATAACATTTTGATGGGGTAAAATGTGCATGATGCTGCGCTGGTTTATAATGCCCGCATTTTGGATTCGGAATCATGCTCACGCATAGAGACTGTACCCGCTAAAAAATTTTCTACCCGGGTACTATTAAATTACCCGGTTATCTGGGTAATTTATTATGACCATATAATAGAAATGTCTACCCGGGTACAATCTCTACTCACGCATGAAACCCATTTCTAATATTTACCCATCTTTATCTACAGTCTTTTTACAGTCTTTTTGTGAAATATCTTGCAAATTCCTTTGTTTAGCCGTGCCTTTTTTATATTTATTCATCTTATACGCAAGATAGATAGCATAAGGTGGTAAGACTACAGCAGCAATCTTTTTCTTTGTTGTTAGCCAATACTTGCTTGGGTGCTCACATGT